AGAAAATATTACACAACGTTTATGATACTTACACGTTTTGTTCATTAGAGTTCTCCACATATTAACACCACTTTATGATTTCTGAAGTAAAAAGCTAACGTGGGCTATAAAGGAACTACAGCACGGTCACATGACTTCACGTCACCATCGCTAAGCTAAAGGAGGCTAATGTTGGGCTATAGAGGAACTACAGCACGGTCACCGCTAAGCTAAAGGTGGCTAATGTTGGGCTATAAAGGAACTACAGCACGGTCACATGACTTCACGTCACCATCGCTAAGCTAAAGGTGGCTAACATTAAGCTATAAAGGAACTACAGCACGGTCACATGACTTCACGTCACCATCGCTAAGCTAAAGGAGGCTAAAGTTGGGCTATAAAGGAACTACAGCACGGTCACATGACTTCACGTCACCATCGCTAAGCTAAAGGAGGCTAATGTTGGGCTATAGAGGAACTACAGCACGGTCACATGACTTCACGTCACCATCGCTAAGCTAAAGGTGGCTAACATTAAGCTATAAAGGAACTACAGCACGGTCACATGACTTCACGTCAACACCGCTAAGCTAAAGGAGGCTAAAGTTGGGCTATAAAGGAACTACAGCACGGTCACATGACTTCACGTCACCATCGCTAAGCTAAAGGTGGCTAATGTTGGGCTATAAAGGAACTACAGCACGGTCACATGACTTCACGTCACCATCGCTAAGCTAAAGGTGGCTAATGTTGGGCTATAGAGGAGCTACAGCACGGTCACATGACTTCACGTCACCATCGCTAAGCTAAAGGTGGCTAATGTTGGGCTATAGAGGAGCTACAGCACGGTCACATGACAGCTAAAGGAGGCTAATGTTGGGGTTGAGGACATTTAGTCGTCTCATTTAGACACTTGTTACTAACCTCTTTTTAAATCCTCCTCCAGTGGGGGATTTACTGACGTATTTTATGAGGTAGATCAAAGCGTTAAAGTCTCTTCAGCTTCTGTTAACCACAGACCTTATTTCAGGATAACAGCCAAAATCACACTCAGGAAACCATTGACCTCCAGACCAGGGGACAGGAAGTGATGAAATGCTGAGTCATGTTTGGACTCATTCCTGCAGCTCTATAAGAACATCAAAGGTTATTTGGATGCGATTGACAAAGTGAAACGTACAGAAAGAAGCTTCAGCACGTAGAGTCAGATCTCTGTCAGATATCTGCTGAGTGGTGAGTCTCTCTGGTTTCAGATGGAGGTGATCGTGGGTGATTTTGGGATCGTGGTGGTTCCTCGTGACGGAGCAGACACGGAGAAGATCATGAACCACTCCTCCATCCTGCGCAAGTTCAAGGTCAATAACAGTGATTCACACACACTCACTGCACACAGGAAACACCGTTTACACTTCATTCATTAAGGAATCAGGAATCAGAATCATGATGGAGTTATTTCTGCATCGTTTTTATCCGTTTATCGTAAGTTAGGCCTATTCCATACAAGCACTTTCAGGTCATTGAAAACTGAGCTATAGTGAAACTCTGTCCAGGGAGAGACTTACACAAAGTCAAACGTAGACTTGTAGATGCAAAAACTGATTTACAGTTATCACATTTGTGCTGCTATCTGCTTTGTGAGGCTGTGATGCTGACTAACGTACGGAGGTCGATAGATTCAAACTCCCTGCAGCTTCAGAAAGGATGCAGATATAAAAACCCAAATGTTCCACTTGAAGAAACATCTTCAGCATCTTGACAACACATGCAGCGTTTAGAGAACATTCAGCACCTTGAGGAAGCGTGCGCAGCGTTTACTAAAAGCTGCAGAAACCAAACACTGCAAATCCAAAACGCTCCGCAGTGTGAGTACCCTCCTGTCTTTAGGTGTGAACACAGTATTCATCTCTGGTTCTGGTTCCTCCTGAGGCTGATCGTGTCCCGTTAGAAACAGCATCTCATCTGCTCTGTGTTCTGGTTTCAGGACAACATCACGGTGGTGAAAGATGAAATCAGCCACCCGATGTCCATCGTCAGCTCCACCAAGAGCAGGTGGGCTTAACGTCTGAGATGGTGTTGATGTTAGGAAGTTATTACTCTGCTGTCCAAAGCTTCAGTAGAGAGAGAGGGTCATTATTGCAGAGTTGGAAAATCATCTTTATTTACAGGTTATTCAGTTTGAGTAAAAACATTTGGTGTCTTAAGTTTTTATTTCACTGAAGGAAAACAGCTGATTCATAACTTTAATTGCAGCTACAGTTTATAAAGCAAATATTCATTTGACAATAAAAACATTTTACCCAACACAAAAACTGGGGGTGGGGGGGAGATGTGTAATATTTTGGGGAAAAGCTGTACTTTTTGGAGTAAAAACTCAAGTCTTGGGTGAAAAAAGCCAAATAGATGGAGAAGAAATGGTCATAATAATATCCATAAAAGAAATTATTATTTTTAAGCTATTTCCTGAAAAATTGGTCTTTTAAAAAATAAGAGTTTTCATATTTTTGAGAAAATGCATTAATATTTGGGGGAAAGAAAGTCGTAATAATTAATGAACAAATGTGTTATTTTCTAGTGAAAACACTGTAAAAGTTGGAGGAAAAGGTAGAAAGCATGTTGTGTAAAATCATCTGTATTAAAACCATCTCCCCCCTCAGACTGGCCCTTCAGCACGGAGACGGCCATGTTGTGGATTACCTGAATCAGCCCGTCATCGACTACATCCTGAAGAGTCAACTCTACATCAACACCTCCGGATAAACAGAGTCCAAAACCTCCATCAGAGTCCAAAACCTCCATCAGAGTCCAAAACCACCATCAGAGTCCAAAACCTCCTCAATCAGAGTCCAAAACCTCCATCAGAGTCCAAAACCTCCATCAGAGTCCAAAACCACCTCCATCAGAGTCCAAAACCACCA